CTCGTAGGCGTAAAAACCTACTTGGCAATAAACAAAATTCTGATTCTGATTCTGATTTTAAAATTGTACTCGGCAGTAAAGCCAGTCACATGTAGTTGTCGAGTGCTGAGATATCGGCTAATAAAGCAGCTCTTCGTCGGCAACTAAATAACGTTTGGTGAAACGATGACACTGATGGAAAAATTATGGTTTTCTATTCCTCTTCTGCGATTAATTGGCCATCAATCTCTGTGATGGTAAAGCTTACACATGTACGTCTAACATGTTTCATGATGGAGATGCTAATTAGTTTCTTGTGAAATCTGGTTGCAGCCACAGGAAACAGCCCCAGAAGAGCAGAGTGGAAAAGAGTTAAAAACAACTGACGTTGTGACGGATTACTGGTCATTACGTGGCATAAATTAGACACCCACATATACCATTTTAAAAACTCTGCAAGACAGCTGCATGTTTGTGCTTTAGTATTTAGTTTTACATATGGAACAACATTCTCATTCATATGGAGTCTGTTTCTGAACACCTGGTGAATAATGTCCAATATTTACTCTTCTTTTAGCTCAATTTTGGTCTAAACTCCCCATATCTGGCTCTTTGGCCACTAAATGTACTTTTGTTCACTAGCTAGTGGCTAACTGTGTCTGTCTACCATTTGGTGATAGAAGGTAGTGTATAGTGGGTTTTAAGAGCTTTCCCGCTGAAAATAGCTAGCTGTTGTGGCCACTAAAAGAGCGGTAAGAATGAACCAAAACAGTTCAGTCTTACCGCCACAACAGGCAGCTGTTTTCAGCGGAAAAGCTCTTAAAACCCAAAGTTGCAGGCTCTAAAACCAAAACAATCAACTAAAAGACTATAAAACTCTGTAGAGTTGAAGGGGACTGCAGAGTTTGGTGATAATTCTCTGTGGTGACACCTTTCACATAAAAGTAGTCTTTTCATCCATTGTTAATATCAAAAATATGTATTATAGCCACTTGAAAGTAATAGAACTTAATTAGAGAAACGTGTGCTAGCTTACAAAATAAGTTTTGTAATGAAACACAATGTTAAGACACTGGTTCAAATCTGAAAACAACTAAACAAACCTGCAGTATCATACACTGCACTTGTAATAAGGAAAACGTGTTTACCATAAAGGCCTTCCACCCATCTTGCAAATAACTTATGCATTTATCCAGCAGTCTTTCAGGGGCTTCCTGTCCTCCCCTCTGCTCTTATTATACACTCCCTCAGGAACCCACCCCCACCACCCCTCAGCACCCGCAGAGTTACCGAGTCAGCACCCAGTGAATCGTCAAAGGGCGACAGAGGAGGCAGTGAAAGCTCACACTTTAAACACAGGGTTCCGCTTCTCTCGTGAGGCACAGCGGCGGTGGGGCATGCATGGGAGACAGGAAGTCAAGTTCTGGGAGTGCACGGCTCTTTAGGAATACAAAACGATCACTGACAAGCGCTGAGCCTGAAGACAGGATGCCACTGTCTCTCCTCAGCAAAGCCAGTGCTTTCACAGACAGGAGGGCCTGCAGCTTCTGCTCTGTTCAGACGCCTTAACATGCAAGGGATGAGGGATGATTGCACCTGACAGGGTTGACGTCGTTTCATATCCGATTCTCATGGGAGAAAATGTAGAGGGGTGTTTATTCCGAATTCTGAGCTTTTCAGTGCAGTAGAGAATGGACCTCTGATCATTTTGAGCAGATACCTCCAAAACTGACATAAATCATTGACTATTTAATAGAAATTGACCAGTAAATGTTTCAGAGGACACAACTGAATCATAAACTACACATTTTGCTCCAGTTTTCCCTCCTTTTTCCTTTTTCTTTTACTATGAACAGTTCCAATTAGAAAACTCCATCAATACTTTATTATATAAGCCGGTATTTCTTTTCAGTTCAGTGTAACAGACCTATGCTAACTTTGAACAAGTTAATTTTTGACTTTTGAGAACAGAAAGAAAATATTATCATCCACATCCCTCGCCAGAGACCACCTCTGAACATATGACCACA